TCCTCTGCTGTGTGAACACTTGTAATGCACTTTGCAAGGCTAATTAAATGTTTTCTGTGTGGATAACAATTTCAGCCAGAGCATGTGAACTTAGAGATAGCAACAATTAACATTATCACGGATAGTTAACAGCTAACTAGTTAATTTTTTTGGGTAATGAAGAGTGTAACCTTTAACTTCATGACCCAAGAATGTGAAGATGGCAGGTGGAAAAGCAAAATCACAAGTCCTAGCCTGGAGGCACAAAATTAAAGACAAGAATCTAGAATCAGTAGTTAAATGAGTCGGTAAACTGAGTACCCAGCTTGCTGGGGGGGCAATGTGTAGCCTGTATAATTTAAATTGTAAACCGCCTGGAGAGTGCTTGTAGCGCTATGGGGCGCTATATAAGTCCAATAAATAAAATAAAATAAATAAATAAATGCTAGTGTCTAGGAGAGCAAGGCTGGCAGTTCTAGAGAGATTGTAAAAAGTGCCAAACTGCAGGCTGGAAGAAAAAGAACTCCCAGCTAGGGGTGGCAAGACAAGAATGCAAAGCAGGGAGCACACAGCTGAAAGTCCAAAGCTGAAAGCGCAGAAGCTGAATGCAAAAATAGAAGAACATGGAGCTGAACGTTGAAAGGCAGTTGTGCAGAGCAGAAAGCCATCAATAGGAGTAAACAGTACAAAACTAGATCCCCCAAAATAGATGCCAAGATTGGAAACTCATGGGCATGCATGTCCGTGAGGGTAAACCACACTTTAAACAACTCACATACCTACTTGAAAATATCAGGGTTGCTATAAAAGTTATTTCAAGAAATGTAACACAGACAAAGAATCACAAACTTTATTAGTCTGCTGCAGACTCATTGTAGAATGGAGTATCTCACAGTATTCTAGGATGATTTGTAGTTCATCTTTGTGTGGGATGCTGCTGTAAAGCGCCTCTAAATCCAGTGACTAGGATAGAATCATCTAGGAATCTGTAAGTGGACTACAACTACAAAACGTTTTAGATCCCTGGGAACATGTATGGCACCAGTGAGCAGATATTCACTGCTCATCTGTGACAACAGATCTCAAATAGATAAGTAGTAGAAGGGATAGCCATTTTAGTCTGTGCAAGCATTATAGGTAAAAGCAAAATAGAAAAAGTAAATAAATAAATAAAAAGACAAAAACGTGGCGGCACCTTAAAGACTAACTTTTGTATTTTTTAAAGTGTGCTCTTGTGGACAAGTCCATGAACAACCACATTTAAAAAAAATATAAAAGTTAGTCTTTAAGGTGCCAGCGTATTTTTTTTAACTTTTAGTTTCTATTTTGCTTTTATCTCACATAGAGAAGATGTTCTGGGCTATGGAAGTACAGGAAGGCATAGTTCTTTTCTTTGTTTATAACCAAAGATGGTCACAACAACCCAAGGGGTTAAAGCAGTACAGCGTATTTTTATGGTTAAAATCCTGTTACTTAACCCTGTTGACATAAACGCAACAGCGTGAACTACGGGAGTGAATTGCCCCTAGTTAAGGAGTTGATGTCTGCATTCTTGGTTGTTTGCCAAATCCTGCGCCTGAAGCATGATAAGGACTACAGTACAGCCGCCTGTCCTTATTCGAAATCAACTCCATCGGCAGAAATAACCACCACTCACCACAAAAACCGAGGTATTGAACGCGCAGGCGCCAGCCCGTCTTTCGCCCCCCCCTCCCCGCGCGCACACTCCGTGCAAGGGAAACGACCCAACAGCCATATTTTTTGAAGGCGGAAGTCTAGAGGAGGACGGCCCTTACGGCGAGCGGAGAGAGTCAAACGGGAAAAGGCAAACCGCCCTCGTGGCCGGAGGAGGGCGGGGCCACAGCCCTTATCACATGGTCTACAATTCCAGCATGGCCGGAGAAGAAAGCCTCGTTGCGGAGAAGGAAGGCGCCGACCCCACCTCGGTGGAACCCGCGAGGCAGAAGCTACCCGGGGCGGGCTCCGGCGGGGAAGGGGCTCTGGACCGGCGGCGTCCTCCGCCATCCCAAGGGAAAATCTTCATTTGCTCCTTCCCGCTCTGCGACGCCACCTTCAGCAAAGGCTGGAGGCTGGACGAGCACCTTTGCCGCCACACGGGAGAGGTACGTGGGACGGGGCCACGGGATGAATAGATGGCGCGGGCGAGTAGGGGCACCTGTCGGGGCGTCAAGAGGCTAAAGAACTTGCGCCCTGGCTCAGAATGCTGGAGGCGCCCGGCAGGGGCGGAGCCAGAGGGCGCTCGGCGGTTTTTATTAGCTCTTTGGCATGGGAGTGTGACCAATCAACAAGAAACCTGTCTTCATTGGTTGTGGGCTGGGCACGTGGCCTCAGCCGGGAGTTCCAGTTGGAGGCGACGCCTATGGGTCGTGCGTGTTTGCGGGGAAGTTCAGCCTTAACGTGTTTATTGGAGTCTTCCTCATTGGAAGGGGCGGGGCTCCTTAGAACTGCCGAGCTGGAAGGGATGCTCTAGAGGCGCTCTGGGTCATGGAGTACACCTCCACCCTGGGGAATCGAACTCCCAACCTCTGGCTCTGCAGCCAGAGACCGTTAGCCACTGAGTTATCCTGCAGTTTCTTTACTTCCAAGTGTACCTAGAGAAGTATTGGATACAGTGGTGCCTCTCTAGACAGTTACTCAAATGACAGTTTTTTTGCTAGACACTGACTTTTTGCGATCGCTATAGCGATTCGCAAAACAGTGATTCGTATGGGGGAATTTCGCTGGACAATGTTTGGTCCCTGCTTCGCAAACCAATTTTCGCTAGACGATGATTTTGACAGCTCCCTTCGCGCTCGCAAAACAGGAGTACAGTGGTGCCTTGCATAGCGACGTTAATCCGTGCAGCAAAAATCGCTGCTAAGCGATTTTGTCGCTATGCGATTTTAAAAAGCCCATAGAAATGCATTAAAACCTGTTTAATGCATCCCTATGGGCAAAAAACTGACCTTAAAGCGAAGATCCTCCATACGGCGGCCATTTTCACTGCCTCTTAAGCGAGGAATCCGTGCGAAAACACAACGGGCGGCCATTTTTTTAACCCGGCGGCCGTTTTGGAACCACCGATCAGCTGTTAAAAAATCATCACTTTGCGATGATCGGTAAGCGAAACAGGGAACCGATCATCGCAATGTGAAAAAAACCATTTTAAACATCACAATGCGATCACTTTTGCGATCACAAAATCTTCATCGCTATGCGGTTTCATCGCTAAACGGAGCACCCGTTAAGCGAGGCACCACTGTATAAGTAACCTTAAGAGTGGTCGCAATGACCAGATAGGCGGGGTATAAATAAAATAAATGAAATAAAATAAAGATACCCAGTGTGGTACTGGAGTGATGGACTAGGACTCACGCAGTTTGGGTTTGAATCCTCACTTGACCATGGAAACTCACTGAGGGAGTGGCACTCCTCAAATATCTCACTTACCTTGAAAGCCCTATTTGCGTCACCCTAAGTTGGTTCCAACTTGGGGGCACAGGTGGGCAATCCTGGATATAAGGGGAAAGAAGATAATTTGGCCTTGAAAATGTGTGAGGTTCCCCCTGAATCAATCTCAGCCTGTCCTACTTCACAGGGTTGTGCAGATCAGCTGAGGGGGTGACGCATCCTCATGTATGCTATCCTGAACTCATTGAAAGGAATTGAAGGTGTAAATGTAAAAAGTAAATACTGTAAGTGTTTTATGACAATCATCATAGGTCATTCATATCTGTAGGCTAGACATAAAACTGTCCCAGTGAAATGTTTAACGTTATTTTAGGGGAATAAATATAAAACCCATAGACTCAATCCAGTTTATCAGATATTACTAAATCTTCTTGTAAATTACTTCTCTGCCCACCAGTCTCCCTCGCAAAGCAGTGAAATAGTAAAACCACATTTATAAAACAGATATTTAAGACATTGTTTAAAAACAGATTGAAACAGAGTGGTCTTAACCGACCAGATAGGCGGGATATAAATAAAATAAAATAAATAAATAAATACCAAAGGCCTGACAAATTACACCGTTTGAAAGCTAAGAAAGAATCAAATCAGTCTGACAACCCTTGGGAGGAAGTGCTATAGTCAGGAGCAACTACAGAAAAAAGACCTGTAAAAGTTGCAGTTCCACACCACTGCATTATTGCACTACTGTGCCAGAAACATTTCACTTGTAATTTTTGCCTGTCACCTGTTTTTAAGTAGAAAAGATTTCTGAGAGCAAGGATGCATTGCTGGAGATTAAGGCCAAAGTAACACATACTGTGTTCCAGTTTTACTTTGTATGGATATGAAAACAGGACACCAGAGAAAGCAAACAGGAAAATAACTAATTGATTTTGAGTATGGAATTGGATGAGAGTTTTATGGATATCATGGGCAAGAAGAAAGACCAATATGTGAATTCTAGATCACATCATGTTTGAACGTTCTAGAACCCAAGGATACCATATTTTACAAACATAATGAGAACATAACTCACTAGAGAAGATAATAATGTTGGGAAAACGAGGACAGAAGGAGAAGAGAAAGACTGAATATGGGATGGATTGACTTGAGAAACCACAGCTTTGTGTCTCCAAGACTTGAACAAGGCTCCTCATGACAGGAAATTTTGGAGATCCCTAATGCATAATAATAGTTGCATGTTGTCAAGTGAATTCTGAGTTATGGTGACCCAATAGTTAGAAGTGGTTTACCATTCCTGCCTGGTGGTGCTGTGGAATGGTATAGTTTGCCCAAAGCTACACAGGCTGGCTTTTCTCCCAGGAAACACAGTTGGGGGTCAAAAGGTTCAACCTCAGGCTCTGCTAGCTCACCAATTCATAAAATCACCATAAATTGAAAACAAATAATGATGACAGTTCTGTTTAAAAAGTACATAGGTTCCTAACTAGACTAGATAGCATAACCCCATATGACTGTTGTTAATGAAATCAATCAGTTGTGTCTAGAGTGGGGAATTGTTTTGGAGTGTGGTATATCAGATCAGAACCTATCCCTTCACATAATTAATTGCTGCAATATGATTAAAATTGTGATTAACTGTGCGCAGTGTTGCATAGCATTATAACCACTTAAGGGGGAGGAATTGGCCACAAACTGTACCAACAACGGAATCTTTATAACGGATGTAGTAGATTGATTTGGCTTTGGGAAATAGGAGAGCAGGAAAAACAGACAGAAGACACAGTTAAGGCAACAGCTTAGCACGTAAGTCAATAGCACAGCAATTGCCTATTTTGTCTGAAGGTCTGTAGTCATGTCTGAAAATACTCAGTATAGTGTTCCCTATGCAAGAGAAGTTGTAGGGAAGAAGAGAGACATGGAGGAAGAAGAGTAAAACAAGTAATTTTTAAAATATATTCTCTTTTCCCTTTAAATTAGCGACCCTTTGTTTGCGATTATGAAGGTTGTAGTAAAGGATTCACTAGAAGTTTCCATCTTAAGCGCCATTATCTCACGCACACTGGAGAAAAGCAGTTTGTGTAAGTATACTGGTAAAAGAGATTGGAGTGGGAGAGATGCTGAAATTCTTAGAAGCCCAGACAGATCTTGAGTCAAGAATCTGATGTTTATGAGCTGGTTCTTGAGTCTTGTCACACTGACATTGGCATATTTGTGTAATCAGAGTTTGTGTCAGAACTTGGAAATACTGGTTTTTGGGCTGTGACGATTAGAATACCCTGGTTCAACATGTCCACTCTTGGGGATTCTGGCAACTGTAGTCCAGTAAAATAATTTCCCCAAGATCTGGTTTGTGAAATATGATTCAAGTGTTTGATTATGTTAGGAAAAATTGCTTGACTATAAAGATCTGTTTTGTTTATAACAACTGCGTTTGAACTGCACAGCTGGAAGGGACCCAATAGATCGAGCCCAGTCCCTCTCAAAGGGGCACAGTGAGGAATTGAATTTCCAACCTCTGGCTTCACACCAGAGACTTAAGCCACTGAGATATCCAGCAGTTCAATTGCCCTATTGTGTTTAAATGTTTTTTACTGTAATTACTTTGTAAAATTTTATTTATTCATGTTATTCATATCCTTTAATTTATTTATTTTTTGTTTGAAGGCAGGATTATTTCTTTATTCTAGAAATGACTTAAGTCACCAATTATTTTTGCTCTCATTGATTCATTTTTCTTTGTTAATGAGAACAAGTTTTTCTGTTTATAGATGCACAGTGGAAGGTTGTAATAAGAAGTTTACAACAAAATCAAACTTGAATAAGCACATTGGACGTAGGCATCAACAGAAGAAATATATAGTAAGTGGTTCTATTTAGGTGCTACTCTGTACTGAGAACTGGGAAATAATTGCTTAAGCTTGCTTGATTTTTTTTCCAAATTATCTTGCTAGTGTTTATCATGGCATTGTGCACCACTATAGGCAGAGATGTACTTGTTGTCAGTTGTGGTGTGGAAAGTGCTGTTTGCTTATAGAGTGCATTTTTGCATAATTCATCAGTGGTAGACCCAGTCTGTATGGAGCCATGGTTTCCAACTTTGGGTCCACAAATGTTCTTGGACTACAACTCCCAGAAATCCTGGCCAGCAGAGTGATGAAGGCTTCTGGCAATTTTAGTCCAAGAACCCAAAGTTGGGAACCAAAAGCATAGAGGATTTTGACTAAACCATGGGGTATACTGTGTCAAGCTTGGAAAAGATGCAGTCCAACCAAGAACAAGTTTCAGTCCAAACTACAAAGCAATCAAAACTTTAACTTTTCCAGGCTTTCAGTTGCTATGAACATAGGTTGGCAGCATACATCATAGGATCAATTAATGAAGTTAAACTCTGGGAATTCTTACTGGTTTCCCAGCTCTTGCTAACTTTTCATTAAGTAATCGGACACCACATGTATGAATATGCCTGTGAAGATTCTCAGTCATCCAGGTGAGGTTATCTGGAAGCTGAGTCATGGCAACTGGACTTCTTTCTTATTAGGTTGAAACATTTCACTACTCATCTAAGTAGCTTCTTCAGTCTGAGGAGAGTTGGTAAGGAGATCCCTGATATATCCTCTAGCTGGGTTTCACTTCCCCTAGTACTTTGTCCATCTAAAGAGCCAGTTCAGACCAGGGGGAAATGACACCAATGTGGAGGATATATCAAGGGTCTTCTACCAACTCTCCTCAGACTGAAGAAACTACTTGGGTGAGTAGCAAAACGTTTCAGCCTAAGAAGAAAGAAGTCCAGTTGCCATGACTCAACGTCCAGACATGTATGAATATTTGAGTTTATCTTTGTCTTCTACTAACACCAATTAACTTGTTTTCCAAACAGTGTGACGTTGAGAAATGTGGGAAGTCATTTAAAAAACACCAGCAGTTAAAAATCCATCAGTCTCAACATACTGGTGAACCACTTTTCAAGTAGGTGAAACATCTCTATATCCTAAGATACTGCCCTACTTGGGAGTAAATACTGCTATTTCTGGAGTTCTTGTGGGCAAGAACTGAAAATGAATACTATGTGGAAGATAAGAAAAATGATTACCTTGAGGAAGATAAGAAAAATGGAAGTGTAGCATGAAATACCCTGAGTGGTTTAGGCTGCTTACCCCTCATCCCCCACCATGCCCTGATCAGCAGGACACTTCTAGTTTCTTCGTCTGCAAACTAGCACAAAAGCAGGACATCTTTTATTGCACCACCTCTTGTATTTCCACAAATAGTTTACCACAATGCTCATCTCAACCCATTGCACCCATTCCTCCTCAGCTGTTGGACCAACTGTGACCAAACTAGAATGTTCACCTATTTTGAAAATGCATTTTAGATAAATTTCCAGACACTTTGGTCAGCTTTAATTTGTGGCTTGCTTTTAGTTTTATTTTCTAACTGTCTTCTGGATTTTCACCAGCAACCTAACCTTCTGCGTTCTCTGTAGAAATAGCACGATTAACAGCATCCTGGTGTTTTTATAGCTGCAAAATCAAAATTCCTATACTTTCCATAACAAAGTGTATGTACATCCAGTTGTGTTTGCTCAAATTCATTCTTTCTTGCCTTTTTCCATTTTCTTTTGCTTTTTTTGTTGACTGCTTCAGATAGATTACAGTACTGGATATCCCTGATTCACTGCTTATGAGAATTTGTGCTCACTTTGTGTACATAAAATATAAGTCCAGTGTATTTTTTTTAGTAATTTACTAATTACCACTGTGGGCTCTCAAGAGTGATAATATGCTCTGAAAAGCTTTATATGAAATGTGACCTAAAATGTTGTGCAAAAAACCACAAATGTTGTGGGAAATTATTCTTTGAAGCTTTTTAAAGAATCAGTATATCATCTAGTTAATATTGGGTTGGAGATGAAAGAAGAAAAAGAGGAAGGTTTTTTTTACAGTTCACAAGCTATGATTTTTATTTGTTTTTAATGTGTGTTTGTCACATAGATGCAACCATGAAGGATGTGGGAAGCAACTTTCTTCACCTGCACATCTAAAACGTCATGAGAAGACTCATGAAGGTCATTACTTTTCTTCATTTAGCCAAGTCAATTTTCTAGAGCAGAACAAAAATTTTATGTCAGATAGTGGAGAGGAAGCTCTTGAAATACAGTGGTCTTAATTTGAATGGAGGATAGATGGAAGAGCTAGCTGGAGAGCACAGTGAGGTAGGTATCGGGCTGTGGACCAGAGGCTGGGAGTTCAGTTCCCACTGTGCATCCCTGAAGAGTCAGCCTATGTAACCTTGGGCAAGCTTCACAGTCCCAAGGCACCCCCAGAAGAAAAAAATGGTAAACCACTTCTAAGTACTGTCTTCTTAGAAAAGGGTCACCATATGGCAGAATTCACTTGATGGAATACAATTATTTGTTAAGATGGAAGAGCATTACAAAATATTCTAGATACATGTAGTCTTGAAATACAAGGGTCACACTACCGTGTTTCCCCGAAAATTAGACAGGGTCTTACATTAATTTTTGCTCCAAAAAATGCATTAGGGCTTATTTTCAGGGGGCGTTTTATTTTTTTCTTGCACACCAATCTACATTTATTCAAATACAGTCGTGTCATTGTCTTCTGGTTGCTGCACAATGGTGGAGGTCAGGGTTTCACTTAACTGGGGCCTATTTTGGGGTAGGGCTTATATTATGAGCATCCTGAAAAATCATACTAGGGCTTATTTTTGGGGAAACAGGGTAGAATGATACAAGTGTGTGTTGTGTTTCAGCATGTAACTTCAGCAGAAAAGGAAACACAAGGGCAGCAGTTTGCTAAAACTTTCTTAAGTTTGCATTTTTCTCTTCTTTTTTTTAATACTAGATTTTTGATGCTATTCCTTTTAAGAGTAGTAATTAAAATGTGTTTTTAAAACAGTCTATCCCATTTATCACTACTAAGTAAATGTTGCCTTAAGGAGTGATATACAGATCAGTTAGGTCAGATGTATGTTCGGGCAGTACTGGGAAACCTGAAGGCAATTTATTTATTATCTATATTGAGGAGAAGCAGAATGACTTGTAGAAAATGACTCTGCATGTTTGTTTGTTTTTTGAAGTCTGTTAAACTTCCTTTACTTTTTTTCCCCACCAGGCTATATATGCAAAAAAGATGGCTGTTCATTTGTTGGAAAAACCTGGTCAGAACTCCTGAAGCATGTGAGACATAGTCATGTAGGTAGGTATTATTAAGATAAATTAAGCTTTAAAAATTATATGGCATGTGAAAAATATATTTTCTAATTATATGTGCTTGCTTCTTTGGTCCTAATACAGAACTGCAATACTGTCTTATGTTGTATTTCTCAACTGAATCCAGAAATAGAAATGTGTCTCAGAATATTGCACATCCTTGTGTATATTTTCAGTCATCTTAGAATAGTCCTGTAGAACAGATCACTAGTACTCAACTTTTACATATGATGGAGCCTGAAACACTGAGTTCTTAGCTATTTCAGACTACTTATTGAGTTTACAGTAGAAGTGATAGTTGAAGCCGGCACTGTTGCTTTCCAAACACACAGCACTTCAATCAGCATTGCTGGATCAGGCCAAAGGTCTGTGTGGCCCAGCAGCATCCTGTTCCCATCCTGTGTCCAACAAGTGGGACATAAACCTGCTACCCCCTACACAACAAGTACACAGGACCAACATAGCTGTCATGACTAGTAAGTAGTGAATAGCTGTATCTTCCATGAACTTGTCTAATCAGATGATAAATCCTCAAGTTGGCTGCCTTTGCTACATCTGGTGGCAGCGAATCCCATAGTTCTGCCACAGCTAACTACCTGTGTTAACTAATGTGGAAAAGATGATCTCATCCTCACTGTTCTGAACAGTCCACTTTTTCAGTGTCAATGGGGGCTCCCAATTATGAAAGAGAAATAAGAAGTATTTCTGATAGATAGGACTGTAAAGTAGAAATCTGTGTAAGAAGGCTGAGAAACATGCTTAGTGGTGAGGTGCTTGTATTGTGTACAGAGATTTTTTTTTTTACCTTGAGAGAAATCAGAAGGTTTTCTGTTAAATTCTGCTTGAAAATATGCCTGCAGCTTTTCTTCTGTTTCTCCTTCTCTAGAACCAGTGGTCTGCAAGGTGTGTTCCAAAATATTCAGCCGCAAGGACTTCCTTAAATGCCACCAAAAGATTCATGCTGTTAACAGAGAAGTATTCAAATGTCCACGAGAGGGCTGTGGAAGAACTTACACAACTGTTTTTAATCTTCAGAGCCACATTCTTTCCTTTCATGAGGCAAAAAGACCATTTACATGTGATTATCCTGGCTGTGGAAAAGCCTTTGCAATGAAAGTAAGCGTTTTATTTTTTTTTACACCTACTTCCAAATCCATGTTTTTCCTTCTTGGTTTTGGGTCCTACAGAAGCATAATTCTTGTTCTTTATAGCAGAGTCTTGTAAGGCATGCTGTGGTACATGATCCTGACAGGAGGAACTCAAAAGTAAGTCAGACTTGTTTTTCTCTCTCCTTCAGTTAGAAAAAAAAGTTGTTGTGTATCAATAAGAGCTTTGTGGCGTGGTGGTTAAACTGCAGTACTGCAACCAAAACTCTGCTCCCAACTTGGGTTCAAATCCCAGGTAGCCGGCTCAAGGTTGACTCAGCCTTCTGTCCTTCCGAGGTCGGTCAAATGAGTACCCAGCTTGCTGGGGAGGGCAATGTGTAGCCTGCATAATTAACTTGTAAAGCACTCAAGAGAGTGCTTTAAGCACTACAGGGCAATATATAAGTAGCACACTTTGCTTTGCTTTAATAATAATTGTGATTTGTGAAAAGATCCAAGCCGCTGAAATTTCAAGCCATTTTACTAAAACATGTAATTAAACAAAGGCAAATTAAATAAGTGATTTTATTTAATTATGTTCTGAGAGTTGTAGGAGCAAAAGTGAAATTTGGAGTTTTCTTTCCAGTCAAAATATCTGAAGGACAGAGGGTGGGCAAAATAATTGTGAAAAGACTACTGAGATTCCTTGTCTTCACAAATCCCATCCCCAGAACTTCTCAATACAATAAGTATCTGTAAAAAAATTTGTATGTTTGATGCTAAGCATCAAACATATAAGGGAGGTATATGTTGGGCTGAACACATGCCAAAAGATTCTCTTAACTTATTAAAAGCAGCGTGCTTTTATTAAGGTTCCTGATCCCAGTGAACTTCAACTATGCATTTACCCAAATGCTTATAAAGCTTGTGCAGATTCCTCTATTCAGTGCACAAAAATATTTCTACTTTTGTGTGTGCAGACTGAACATCTGCAAACAGCTACAGTTACGAATCCACAGATGTGGAAATTGATGGTCTTCATCGGGTTTGGATCATGTGCATCCTTCCAGCTGCAACTCCCATCAGCCATCGCTAGCACTGCCCAAGATGACAAGTGCTGGGGGTTGCAGTCTAACAGAACTGAATGAAGGCACTAAAGCCATCCCTGATCCATGTGACAGTAAAACTAGTTTACAAAATTATTTTACTAGCCAGTCAATGTGTTCCTGGGGCACATTGTTGGCATGAACATGCTCGGAGTAAAAGATAACAAGCAGCTCTGGTTGGCCAGAGAATCTTGAAGAAGGCAGAGGAGGCTTCTTTGGAAATATGTGGAACAGCCAGTTTTATACCTATAGTATAATGTACTTCTACAAATATACTTTTACATTTGTTTGTAGTGAGACAGAAACAAACAATACAAATATATCATAAGCCACCTGTGCCCTCTAATCCAAAGGAAATCAGACCTAGTTAATGTTATCACTACAACTGAAAAGCCCTTGAGAAAATGAAGGGCATAAAATAGCAGGTCACTATTTCCCACAGCTGGCTACCATGGCTGTTGGTATGATAGGAGAAACTGACCATGACTTCTGTGTTTGTGGATCTTGTTTCCTAAGGCTAGAAAACCACGTCCCAAGCGAAGCCTGGCCTCTCATCTCAGTGGCTACATTCCACCAAAATCAGAACAAAGAAATGAGTTGTCAGCAGTGGCTATTCTGACCAGACCTGCAGGAAATCATACACCGTTGACTGTGGAAACACTGTCCCTTAACTAGTTTGAGATGCATTTGAACAGCTGAATGTGCGTGGAAATGGATTCATTAACTTACCATTATTGCATATTTATGGAGTCTCTACAGACAACTGGAAACACATTGGAGGAAATTCAGTCTTTTTCCATTTTAATAAAATCACTGCTTGAGAGATCTCAGTCAGTAGTGTCTTTTCCACTCTCCTGCTGATCTTTGTTTTTTTGTATTTTATCAATGTTCTGCTGATCATCTTTCTTTTTGCCCATTTTCTTATATTCCTGGATTTCTTTGTCTGACATGTGTCTCAAAACACACTTACTGCTTCCTTCTTTAACGTGGGGCTCAGAGAGGTAAGTCACTTTTCCAGGCATCGAAGCCAAAATTTTATCAAACAACAGTAGCTGAAAATGAGAACATAGCTTGATGTTATGAACACGTTATCTGAATCTTTCTAGGTTTAGAGAAAGAATTAGAGTGGAATTTGACAGATCAGGCACATAATATTCTTATAAAAACATTATCTGTGCAGGACAGAAGCTAAATCTTACCAACTTTGCTAGTAATTTAGATTACATGAGCATTTATATCTTGTGCATTATTCCTGTGCATTGTCTAGTACACTGATTGGTGTTGAAGACTTCCTTATTACTTATTATTCCTGTTATCTTTACAAATTCTACTATTGGAGATGCCACCTGTTTAATTCTTGATCAGCTGGCTTGGGGTCTTGGATCATCAGTTCTCAAATTCTAGTTTTCCAGTTGTTTCTAGATAACAGTTTTGTATGTTTTTCCTCACTTTAATGATTGTTATTTCCAAGTAATAATCCTGCAGAACATTGCAACCAGAGTTAAAACAATGAAAGTGACTCTGTATAATCAAACTGGAATGTGTGGCCTTAAGCACAGTTAAAGTACTTTAATTACAGTCATAAGCAGAGAGAACTTAATAATCTGCAATCTTTCTACAGTCTCTTGAGAAACAAGACTTTAAATTGGTATTAAAGATGAAGGTTGGGCGGTACTTTTATTAGATCAATAAAAAGTTAAAAATAAGATGAGCTCTTTAATTTTCCAGACCTATTCATCAGGTAAGGATAGTGTAAAACTTGGGGTTAAGGCATATAGTTCAATAATTGGGCTAGATGTCGTATTATTGGCTCACAAAGCCAGTATTCCAACCAAGCAATATGGAGATTAGGTTCCACATGATGACAAAGGGAACAACTTGCATCTCTTCTGCATTTCCTGCAAACCAAAAGCCAGTGCTTGCAGAATGGGGGGGGGACTGCAAATAGTTAAATTTGTCACCTCTGATTCACATGGAATCTGAACTAGAGATGGGGGTATTCATATTCGTATACGAATACCTCCGCACAGGTGAACATAACGAGGGTCCAGCGCCATGGGGCCAGACGGTCCAGTCACCGATCCGCAGGAGTGCCATCCAGTGGCTCCGGAGATTGCGTTCGGCTCGCCACTCCTGGCAGGAGGACAAGCCTCTGCTAGGGCAAAGCGTGGCTTGCTGAACGTGATCTCCCGAGCCACTGGAAGGATCTGACGCGCGCGCCCCGGATCGGTGAATAGACCAGCCCCATGAGGCTGGACCCTAGCTATATCCACCTGTGCAGGGTAGTCATCGGCTCGCCACTCCTGGCAGGAGGACAAGACTCTGCTAGGGCGAAGCATGGCTCGCTGAACGTGATCTCCGGAGCCACTGGAAGGATCTGCCGCGCCCGCCCCGGATCGGTGAATAGACCGTCCGGCCCCATGAGGCTGGACTCTAGCTATATCCACCTGTGCAGGGTAGTCCTATAAAAATATCCCCATCTCTAATCTGAACTCAATTTTGCTTTGCTTGTGCAATTTATGAACTACTTGCTTAAATCTCAGGTTTTATGCTATCCTTGACCTGAAGAAGAGTTCCAAAAAAGTAAAAAGCTGATATTTGTAATTTTTTCAATAGTTTAATAAAACTAGTGCCCAGTTTCACTGCTGTTCTATCAAGTTGGAATTAATGACTGAAATAGAATAGTAATTAGACAGGAATTAATAATACTGGTAATTGATGAAGAGCTTCATTTAAAAACCGTTTTATTAACTTACCATCTTTTCTGATCCAACGGAAGCCTTGTGCTGATTCACTACTACTTTAACATGGTATTTGTGGTCAATCCATTTTTCAACTTGTCTTAACTTTATATCTAAATCATGCTGTGCGATATCTGTGGAAAACCTTATCTCCTTGGTCTGAACAGGCCCTGTGGAAATAAAGCAAGGATCATAATCGTATTGAGCCATTCTATCCTGAAGTCGTTTCTTTCCGTTCTTAATTATGCATGCTTGGAAATGGTAACATGGAAATCATTGTGATAGAAGGTGATAATGAATAGCTGCTTATTTATGACAGAGCATTTTCAGAAGGAAAACAAGAAATACGGAATGACATATCCAGGAATATTTTATCATTGAGATGAAGGAACAGTGTGACACCCTTTAACCTGAGTCCAAGAGTTATGATCAGCAGCTGCAGTCGTTCTAGCATTCAATGGCAGTTCTACTGTAATCTGCTTTGTCTCTGAATGAAATGTAGAAATATTTACAGCAGACCCCTTTACTTCTCTCTTGTCTTGTCTTGATATCTCAATTTTTTTCATGCAAGCAACAAGTTGAGTTGTGGTATAGCTGGATTGGGGCAGGAGGAAGGCATGGGGAATAAACCATGCTGGGACATGCCACTAGTAATCTCCCTTACAGCAATATCTTTGACAGAACAGGCTATTCATCATCCCATTAGACCAGCAGATCCCATGTGGCACCCAAATGAGTGTTGCTGGGTGCTCATATTGTTTCTGAGAAAATCTGTACAAGATAAACACTTCTTCCTGCGATTATGAAAGAGGAAAACTTTAATCTTGCCATCTATGATCCTAAAGAAGACTCCTTCTTTACCCCAGCTATTTTATTCAGGCCAGTTGGGCGGGGGCTAGATTAAAGTGCATGCATACATATGAATGCTGTTCCCACCATCTCCAACAGATGCAGCACCCTTGGCCAAAACAAATAGGTGCTCCTATGCTACTGCCTGTGCTAAGGAGTTGTGGCTAGGCAGTTACCAAACACTAACTCTGAAGACATGTCTTTACAATCACCTCGAATCCACGGCTTCAATTCCAGTGGTGACGCAAAAATCCAACACTGACAGCATTCACCTGCATTTATGAATAGCAGATCCTTCCTAAAGTCTAGATGTCTTCTTATATGCATTTCATGATTACTGTTGCAAACGTAAAAGACATCAATGCCACTCATTGCTTTGGAAGTAGGTAGTCATTAGGGTATGGATACTTCTTCAGAAAAAAAAAGTCAAAAAGAGGCAAAGTGGGGATATTAAACAGCCCCATATCTGCTCCAGGGATGTTGCCAGAGCAGATAGGGGCTGTTCAGGAAGTCCCCAGTTGCCATTCGGGTCAGTTAGGGTGCCCATGTAAATAACTGGAATCCCCCCCCCCCAGTATTTTCCAGATTAAAACTGATGCTATTTGAATAAAAATACACAGCACCAGTTGCTGTAGGAAAAGGGAGCCCAAAGCAGAATGAGATTGACAGCTGAAGCTCTAATAAAAGAGAAAAACTCTTCTGGAAAACTCCAGTTACTGAGTCCTGAGATTGACCTCACTGGAAAAACAAGCTGCTGTTACATATCCAGCCCTGGGAATGGGAGAATGAAGCATCATGTCTGATTTTCTTGCTTGTTTTAGGTAGCAACATTGAGCCTTCTATTATACTGAGGCCTTACTATGTTTGTGAATCTGGGGTGGATAACTTGGGTGGATAACTTAACGGGCTTGGTTAAAGTAAAGTCAGGACTGTCCCTCTGGCCTCACTGCCATTTTTCTTTCAAAATTTTCCTCAATTTTTAATGCCCACTGTGGGCCTTTATTTGTAGAACTACATTTTTCTTACCGTGGATATTTATTTATTTTATTGTGTTTATATCTGTCAGTGTTCCTAAATGGATCTGTCCTGACTGTGTGTGCAGCATTCTTGACTTAAGCAAGCCAGGGTACAGACTGAGGACATCTTCCATATCCCAACACACACCTTACCCTAAGGAAAGTTTTCGAGTTAGGAGAGGACAGCATGGAAGAAAACAAGCTGGCAACAACTTTACCTAAAAAGTACCACCATATTCCCAAAGTTGATGGCACGGTGTTGTGCCCTTCAGATAATCACAGCCCTTTCCATGTTTTCTCTCTTTTCCCTCCTGATATGGAAATATATATTAAAAAAACACTTTCCAAAACCTGACTACAACTCAGTGTAGACCGTCTCCAAGTCAGCTTGGGGTAGATAGGAAATATTTGCATACAGAATGGATCAGACAATATTTGCACACCTACAGTAATCATCAAAGGAATTTTAGATACTTAGCTGTTTAACCCAAGCTTCATAGGTGACCAGTATATTTGCAAGAATCAACTGTAATCCCGAGTGAGTCAGGAGGTGAGGCTGAGGAGCTTGACGCCGAGGGAGGCCCGGAAGGAAAAAACAAGAAACCGGGCCTTCTCGGCGGTAGCTCCTCGCCTCTGGAACAATCTTCCTCCAGAGATTTGTGCGGCCCCTTCGCTGGGTATCTTTAAAAAACAATTAAAAACATGGATGTTTACACAAGCCTTTCCTCCAGTTAATATTAGATTTATTTTCTTTTTCCATCTTGAAGAATTTGTTAGATGATGTAATAATTTTTGTGTTATATTTATATGTCGTTTTATGTATATATTTGGAAGCCGCCTAGAGTGGTTGTAAGACCAGATAGGCGGGACATAAATAAAATGAATAAATAAAAATAAGTTTAGAAAATATGCAAGCTTTTGGGTTCTCTCAGATTCTCTGCCAGGCTAAGTAAAAGACCTGGGAGAATGGTAGATCCTACTCTGAATGGCCAAAGGGAGAGGATAACCAGGTGCAAAAGAGGAGGAGGGGGGGTTCTGGACATTTAACTGTTGCTTAGATGAGGAGACTGAATACAACTATTAGAGGTACAAGACCCTGTCTTCTTTTTCATCTGGTCCCTCTAACCAGAATATGAATTCTTCCAAGGCTGTTCCAAAAAAGGAAAGTGGCAGTGCTGATTTTTAGGAATAAAACACAACCCAGAATCCATAGGTGGCCATTATTTTTTTATAAGGCTCACCTATAAATTCAGGATAGATTCTATGATTCTACAGATTCTCGTACCACTGAAGAAGGAAGTTTGTCATATGTAAGGAAAAGACTAGGCAAACAGAGTTACATTATTAATGCAAAACAATGGAACATAACCTAGGTTTTCTCTATGATGCACAGCTGCACGAGTGTGTACAATTCCATGCAGGGCTCCTCCTCCGCACACCTACAGCAATCATTTCCAGCCTCTCTGATTCCAGCTGCGACAAGCCCCATGCAGTGGGGGAGCAGAGTTGTGCACGGGGGGGGGAGAGCAGAGTCGCATGCATGAACACTGGAGCCCTGCTCAGTGGGGCTGAAAACTAGAGGGAACATTGAACACAGCCAAATCAGTTTATGAAGGAATGTGTTCACAATCTTTCAGAAGTGCCTTACATACCACTTTTGGAGCCAGCTTTCTGTTTTTCTTTAAATCGAAGGCGTTCTTCATAAATCTGCAGCCCCGACATCAGCCTGTACATTGGAGGCTTGGTGTTCTCTCTGAGCAGAACAAGTCTTAGCCCCCTTGCATCCATGAGCCGAAGCACATCAGCTCTGTGCATTACTCCCATGTTCTCGCCATTCTCATCTATCAGTTGAACATGCAGATACGGGATTCTTCTCCCCACATTTTCAATCTTCGTATTGAAGGTGTAATTTATCTTATTTCCTTTTATATTTTCCTTACTGTCTCCTGCCGTACAGAATGTCTGCACGGGGTTATAGAGAAGTCTTCTTTTAGCCAACTCTGTCATTCCCTGAGTCTTTGAAAACATTGTCCTTTTTTGTGGTTGCCTCCAAAACCTTGCAAGATATTGAGTAATCCAGTTCAGCTCCTTCCTTCCAGTCTTCAGGCACAAGGAAGCCATTCTGATGGGGAAAAAACAAAATACTTCAAGAACTCAAACAATTATTCCATATATTGTTATTCATTTTCAAGTTATCTTTTTTTTAAAGTTTATAAAATATGTGTAAGAGAGAACTCTTTTGAGTTCTGATATAATTTACAAACAAAGGCAGGTACTGTATAATAAAGAAGTGTATACATATGATGACTACATGGAAGCTGTTGCACTGAATGAGTAAAATATATGAGGAAATGCAAGAGTAGGCAATTACTTTTATACACCACTAAAAATTAGTATGGGAAGATGAGAGTGGTATTTTCTCTGTGTGTATGGCTGAAATGGATTGCAATCCATAACAACTCACATTGGAAAAAAATGTTTCAAAAGTGTCAAAATACCTTTGTTTGCACATTTCCATGTGTTATTCAACATTCCAAGGAAAGTGTAGTTCGGTTTTAAAACACACCCCATGTCACATTAAAACATAATTCAGCTGGCATAAAAAAGCTTTCCAGAGCCTCAGCAATAAACAAGAAGACATGTCAATGAAACACCATTTGGAACAGGTACATTCTCAAAGTCTTTGGGACAGGGAGATCAACTAATTTGCTAAAACTTGAAAGGCCAGGTTTGTGTCTTCTACATTCAGGGTATGCCTGTGAATGCAACAAAGCCCAAGTTGTTATCCTGTGCTATTAAGACTTATCCTGTGCTACTTCTGACTTATGGAGGCCATAGGGTGTCTACTGCCAGCTGATGGGGAAGGTTACTGGTATATCACCTTGAATCAGTAGCTGCCACTACTCTCCGTCCTTCATCCATCCAAGAGGAATGCAATCTGTGCTTACCCAACAGATGGGATGAACTCTGTTGTGGGACATGCCTCTTTTCCTTCAGTCTGGGAAGAATATGGTCTGTGCTGCCTGGAGGATTCTGGCAGTTGTTGAGAAACACAAACCTGCACCCCTCTAATGACTTGCTGCCTCTCCTTAAAAGTAACAATTATATGCCATGAAGTTAATTATGACTTACGGCAACCCTTTTTGAGATTTTTCAGGTACAGAAAACTCAGAAGTTGTTTACCATTCCCTTCTTTCTGCCCCCCCCCCCCGGGACTGTGCAAGCTTGCTCATGACTACACAGGCTGGCTCTACTTGTAGGAGACACGGTGGGGAATCAAACTCCCAATCTCTAACTTCACAGACAGATATCTAAATCAGTGAACTATCCAGCTCTTTCATTCATGAAATATCTGATACCTGAACCAAGGTGGTATTTCTATGGAGGCAATGTGGTGCAGTGGATAAAACATTAAAGCAGGAGACCTAGGTCCAAATCGCCACTTAGCAACAGTAACTCACATTTTGCTCATGCAAAAGTTATACTGGTATCAGCTTTGTGTGAACAGATATCTGAAAACTAATGCCTTCCTGCAAATGTGAATCAATCATGTGTTTCTGCAAGATCTAAGTGTGGAGGCAGAGGACAGACATGTATGGGCATGATATATTATGTAACTAACAAACATATACATATCTGCACACATCTATTTTCTATTTACCATCTAAATTCAATTGCATATTTGTAATTAATTCTCAAGTCTGAATCAATCATACCACTATCTCTGCATTGGTATCTCACTGCTAACTTCATTTAATTATAGAGAAGGCAGTTTTCCAGATCGTGTTCTTCCGCCACTGAATTCATAACAGTTCACTTGTGAAACTGACAAGTAGATATTAAGCTTCTTATGAACTGGTTTCCAGTCCTCATGCAACTCTTCTTGTACAGTGACTAGAAAAAAACCATATTTCGCTACGATGCAGTAGACAAATGTTTTCATTTTTATAACCGTTTTATTCCATTAAAATTATTAATAACATGTATTGCAAAAATAAAGTCTTGAGGCACCTTTGGGAGTAATCAGATTTATTTCTATGTTAGTTTTCCTGGATAAGAAGCCAATTCTGGCAAATGAATAAATTCAGACATATGACCAAAGAAGTGGATTGTAATCCATGGAAGTTCATACTGAAAGGTATCTGTTAGTCTTAAAGACCGCTGTGTTTTTTAGGGGGTGGTGGTGGTGGTGGAATACACATGCGGAAGAGGCTACTACAGCTTGCATAGTGTATGATTTTTTTTAATTAGTGGCCTAATAAAAGTAGTGCCTGTTCTTGCACCTTTTTTTTAAAACTGGTCACGTGTACCTGGAGGGCCACCCTGTCATGCACCAAAGTGGCAGACATACACAGGTTGCGGAGACTTTTCAAAGGGAACAGTTATGGGGGAAAAAAAGCTCCTGGAGCTCTTTTTCTCCTACGGGCGGGTGACTGACTCCGCGCCTTCAGATATTTTCAGGAGGTAACTCCCAAAAGCCCGACCTAGTAGGGCAAATGGCGAGGGACGATGGGAGCGGCAGTCCACCCAAATCTCTGGAAGACGGTGGCTGCCTCGCCCAGCTCCTAATCTACCTATGTTGGACTTGGTCATGAGCACAGCTAGAGCACTCTGCACATTCTCAGAGGTCCTCTCCCGTGGCCACATCGAGAACCCGAAGAAGCCCTGCCCACTGAAGTACGGACACCACCTCAAGTCCTCTTCCGAGCAGGAGCCGCCGCCGCCGCCGCCGCCCCTCGGAACCACCCCTTCCCCTCGGCGCCTGTTCAAGGCAAAAAAAACCTTTTGGCACAGAAGACCATCCGTTTACCTGCCCGAACAGCAGCCCCTCTTCCGCGCAGGGGAAGAAGAAAAACAGCGGCCTCACGGACAGGAAGAGGCGGAGCTCACGGAGGAAGTGGGGGCGGGGCTTACGTTTAGCGTGCCAGGTGGGGTATTTTGGAGAGGGGCCGGGCCACTATCTGTAGTCTCTCGGCGTGCAGGATGTCATCCCGCGCGGGCGCGGCTCGTGGCAACGCTCTCTCGCTCGCGCTCCTTACTCCTCTGGTCGCTTTTGTTAAGCAAGTCAGGATATTTCGTTCAGGAGGCAAATAGCACACGTTCCAATCCTCCACAGCCCGCTTTGCATAATACAGTGGACCCTTGACTTACAGACGGCTTGACTTACAGACTTTTTGAGTTACAGACTTCTCTGGCCGCAAAATTTAGGTTTGACTTGCAGACTGAGATTTGACTTACAGACCAGAAAATAACCAAAATGGAACAAAAATGGCCTGTTACGGGATTAATGGGTTTTCAATGCACTGTAGGTCAATGGAGACGTGACTTACAGACTTTTTGACTTGAGAACCGCCTTCCAATACGGATTAAGTTCTCAAGTCAAGACCCCACTGTATTTGTTTACTGGAAATATTTCCCTCTCCCCCCCCCCACTTTCTCCTTCAAAGGACCCGATGGAAAAATAGGTGCATTCATAGTTGTCCCTACTAATAGGCTTATTTTGGCAGATGATAAGCAATGATGTGAGAGAACTAGTATTTGCGTTAGAATGCAACATTTGAAAAAAAAGGGGGACCCTAATTCATCTCTACTTGGTCACAAAGCTTCCTCGGCTTCTTCGGGGCAGTTTGTATCTTTTAGCAAAACCTACTTTGCACGGTTGTTCTGGGAATAAATGGAGAAACTATAGTTGTGGTACAGTATATATATATTGGCGGTACATACTAGTAAATAAATAAATCTCTGGTGACACTTCTATCAGTCTTGTCATTTTTTCTCATCAGTTTCTATGGGAATGCCACTGAAATCTGCTGCACACTGTCATCCAATTTTCAGGAAAAAAAGTTAAGAGGAAAGTATCTTTAAAGATAAAGATTAAATGTATTATTAGACAGTGCAAAACATGTGCAAAAGAAGAATGAACAGGAACTTATGCCAAGCTGCAGAGTGAGGTGTTGTGTTGATGATTATAGTTAAATTACTCTGACAGTGCAGATGTGACTATTTTGAATCACAGCTCCCAGAATTTTGCCCTCAATGACCACAGTTTTTTTAGCTGGCAGAGCCACCTGGCTATCCAGATACAGGAGCATTGCAAACAGCAAGTGTTACTGACATCTCAGGACAGCTCATTAAACATTTAAGGTCTTGAGGTGTAAGGACTGGGTGATTCTTCATGTTGCAGTTCAAACAAGTAACTTTTCCAAGCTCTGCTTCAGGACTGGAGGGTCATGTCCAATCTTAAACCAATCTGCCCATAAATGAAAGTTCTTTTTCCCCCTCACATAAACCAGTATGCTGTTTGCATTTGCCGCATACAGAACAGAAGTTGCAGAATTAACTGCAGCTATTTGGATTCCCAGTGTGGTGTAATGGGTAGAGTGACAGACTAAGATGGTTGTTGTGGGTTTTTCGGGCTCTTTGGCCGTGTTCTGAAGGGTCTTCTTCCTGACGTTTCGCCAGTCTCTGTGGCCGGCATCTTCAGAGGATTTCAGCCATGGAAACTGACTGGAGGAGTGGAACTGGTAAAACTACTCCTTAAATATCTCACTTACCTTGAAAGCCCTGTTAGGATCACTATAAGTTGGTTACAACTTGACAGCACAGAACGCATTTGGAGAGAACCCTTGTTGTATAACTGACCCACAACAGACACCTCTACAAATAGCCACAGCTGTTCCTGCAACTTTTATATGCATAGTAGATCTCTTGAAATAGCTGCGCCTGCCTCTGCAACTTCTGTTCTGCACATGGCAAATCTGAATAAGAAACTGGCCCAGAATCAACATCTCAGCCCACCTCCAATCCATCACAAATCTTTAGTCAAAAAATGTCTCATACAAGTGCTTAGAGAGTGGGAGTTCACATTCTTGTAGAAATAATATCTTGCTCTCTCTTTCTCTCTAGTTCTTTCCAAACATTAAAGATCTAGATGCAATCTGTTAGATTGATACAGCATATCTGCATACATTTACGGTGCAACCTTACAGTTCAGCCTTGCTATTTAGAGAAATGTAGCATGAGCTGCATTATATTAATGTGACATTTCTGACTGGCAGCAGCTCTCCAGAGTTGCAGGAAGGATTCTTTCCTTGTACTACATGGAGATCTCTGGTGGTGTTGCATCCAGATATTTGCTGGCTTAACCCTGCCTAGCTTCAGAAATCGGACAAGATCGGAGGGGTTCAGCTAGTGTTAGGATCACTACCGGTGGAGGGGAACTTGATTTATTTATTTTATTTATTTATTGCATTTATATGCCGCCCATCTAGACATGGTGGCCATGAATCTGGCCTGGAGAGTTCTTGCTGGTGGCAAATTATGAACTAGGATGTTGCAAGAAGTGGGACATCCTGGGACGTGTTGGATCCACCATCCTTATATTTTTTAAAAAATGGAAAATATTAATGAGAGGAAGTCATAGAAGAAAGAGATGAGCCACCTTGCACCTTTACCTTCATCAGTCCTCAAGCCTTAGGAACAGTATGTCAGGTCATGGATTCTCATGCCTGAACATCTTCCTAAGAGCCCTACAGAACCTTTTATAGACCTCTAGGACTGAATCAGAAGCCATGTTCCTCACAGCTGGCATGCATTCCCAGAAGACAGCTAATTCCAGAATGAAACCAAACAACCAAAATAAATAAATAACGAATGAATGAAAGAAAAAGAAATAAAGAGAAATTAATGTTCAACAAATAAATGTTCAATAAACAACTGTGCTGCTATTCATCTACAGGAATGGCCCAAGAAAGGTGGGCTCCTGTTGTTAGTGGTATGGTGGCCTCTGGTTTGTTGGTGGCCCCCGGACCGTCCCCACGCCTGGCATGGCAGCGCCAGTGCTGGGGTATGCCAGGAGGCTGACAAAGGCTGGGGGAGGTCTCTGTGTGTATGAATCAGCTGTTTGTGCTTTGTAGTTACACTTTTGGGGCATAATATACACAGACTTTGAACTACATGTGGGTCTGGCATTCCTAACCCCTGCGATGCTAACATGTAGCATTGAATTAACTGTGTGCACCAATATGTTGCTCATTCACAGTTAGCCAGGATTCAATAGAAAAGCACTATGTTAAGCTTTGTTATAATTTCAGTGACATAGGAAAGTATTTTTAGAATTAGGAACAGAACATTTTTCATGAGGTTGTGTGTATGGAATGGGAATGTACCGTCTGTGTCTTAAAAGGGTCTGTGTTTAACCATGGTGTTCCAATTAGGTTCCATCCAGGTTGTCTTTCCCCAAACTAGTGAATAAATAAAACCACGATATGTTATTTTTAACATACAGTACTGACAAAAATTGCATATATATCTAGAGAATCCTTAATCCATTTTGTACCTTTTCAAAGTTTGCACACAAATGCCTTGCATATTAAACCATCAGAACAAACGGGATAAGAGGAATGATAGTTTATTGTGTTTCATAGGGAGGTTTATGCAAATCTCCAGCAAAACAATGCTTTAAAAACAACAACATGGGACTTTTTACCAAAGCATCTTTTATGAACCCAAAAGAAAGAAAAAGCCTACTCTAAAGAAACACATGCCGTGATAATGCTGCCCAGATAGCTTTTAAAAGTTGAATAGAATGGTAATCCTGAAACAATCCCTGTGTGTCCTTGGTAGGAAATAAAATAACTAACAAACCTCGCCAGTGTAACAAGTGTATTAAAGAGCTAGTTAAATGCGGCAACTGTATGGTGCGGGCTTTTCCGCTGTACATCTGAGACATTGTTCCATGGCTTTGGTGAGTTGCTGGGTTCAGCTGCAAAGATTTTGAAAGCTGCTTTGTTGGCAGCCTAGGACACATCCGTGACCTTATTAAAAGGGAAGTGAATGCTCTCCTTTTTTTGCAACAGTAAATCTACTAATTTTACAGTCAGTTGAACAGCAATAGATTAATTTGTTTAAAGTCCACATTCACAAAGCAAATGCAAACTTTGCTGCCTTGAATACCCGAAACTACAGTGTGTTTTTTTTTTCTTTTCCTTCTCCTCTCTGTGGAAGGGGAGACACTCTTATGCCATGCCCGAGAATGGTCCCTGCGTTCGCTGTCACCTGCTTCCCAGCACAGGTGCTGACCTCTCTGTCTATTCTCTGCTTCCTGACAGACTAACAACGAGATGAAGCCTTTGTGTGCCACAGAGAACGCTTTCCAAGTGACTGGACTAGTTCTCTTCAGCAGCCACAGGAAGCAGAAGAAAGGGAAGGTTAAGGGCCACACCGAGGGTCAGAACAGGTTAAATTGAGTTAACATCAGAGGTTATAGCTTTTAACAAGGAGTTTGGTGGAAACTTACTCGAAGATGCAATTTGTTTCTTCTTTGTCAATCATTTTTTCCCCTCATCTCTATTGAGAGCCCCCCCCCCCCCCCCGGTCCTTTATACAAGATAAAGGCGCTGTGATGTTCAAAAAGAGATGCAGGTGGAAAACGACTTTATAAAGCTTCCATGATTTCCAAATTGAGGGTTGAAAGTAGGTCCCCTGCTTGGCTAAGTCAAAATTAATTTGTAGCTGTTAAAAAGACAGACATGTTATTGGCAGAAGTGGGAATTGATGGTGGCAGACAGTTTTATTTGCCACATTATAACAGCACAGCCTTTGTGCGTAAGCCCGCCCCCCCAGCTCCATTTTTTTTCACTTTTTCTCCCCTGTCTGCCACCAAGCCATCTAAATGAGATTCCTTGTAAGTCCTTTCTTTAGAATATATTTGTGTGTTCTGTGTGGAGCCAGTTAGGATATATAAAGAAGAACAAACGCAGTTGATCACAAAAAGCTGTAGATCTGTAGATCACAAAAATGTTCTGACTGGGTATTCTCTTAGAAGCCTTTTAATATTTTTAAATTAAAGATTTTGGATCTGCTGCTCACAAATA